AAAGTACAAAGCAGTGAAAATCATTAATAGGCAATCATTCGATGGGCTGAATTGCACAAAACGCATAATCGCACCGGTTAGTCTGGTGCGCGTTGCCATTTATTTTTCTGCCGACCACACAGTCGTACTTGACCAGAAATTACAACCGGAGATACAGAAACAAGAATTATTACTAGATGTGAAGTAAAAAGGGGAAAAACACTGAAAATATACCGTGTCAGCATCGTTTGCTCGGGCGAATAACTGCTGCAAGAAGACGTCCATGATGTTATTCAGTGGCTCCGTTTGCACCAGCAAAACACAGTTGACCGAATTCAGCGCCAACGCTCTGCAGTTATTCAAAATGTCTTTAAAATTACTATGAACTAAATTCGCAGCGTTATCGATAGATTTTTACAAGCGATGCTGTACAAAAGCCAAATTGCCACCTGAGTTTGGCGGATGGTGAATTGAAGAAACACAAAAGCTTCGGAATTAGCGTGTTCAAATGTTCTTGAGGACCAAGCATATCGGCGGAGTCTTCACAGATTTTTTGTATCGCACCCATTGCACCCTTGAAAATGTTGAGAGTGACATCACAAAGCAAAACCGGTTCCGAAACGCAGCAAAACCGAAAACTACGTTTTGCACGTCAGCTTTTTCTTTCCTTTTTTTTTCCTTTCCTCTTTTTGACCTATGTTCCATTCCAAACACTACGATATTTACTCTTTCACGTAGTGGTTAGAGGGCTGTAATGATGATTCCCATCCGTAATCTCACCTCGCACTGTCTGTATTTACAGCTAAGGGATGAAACACAGACAGATCAACCTACATTATTCCTGGTGCATGACTATTCTACATGTCAAAGGATTGTACCACATTAACTAGCCAACTATCTTCACCAAATTTTATTACCTAATTTCACCCTTCCAACCTTAAAACTTAGGGGATTCATCTTTTCTGAACTTTGGTTTATATGGTCCGTTCTTTTGCAGCTTACTTGCCTATTTCGACCTCCCCGTTGATCCAGCTTGAAATAACAGTTTTGCTTTCTATTTTGTTTACAGTGTTCTTACATTCTATTCTATTTATAGTGACTACGGAAAATAAAGCAATCAAATGCTTAAGTTATTCGTATGTCTGAGATTCTGGTGTTTTTAAAAACATCACAAAATAGCGCTAAAAATTATGCGATAACTTTCTGGTGTTGTGAATGACTTCTGGTAATTATGCACTTGCAAATCCCCAAAAATCTCAATGCGAAAAGTACATAGTCAGGCAAATCAGGTAGCTGATGCGATCATGCGTTTTGCGCAGTTCTGTCCAGCGGCTGCTTGCTGTAAAAAAATTTCCGACTTTGGAATAGAAGAATAGAAGAATTCCACTGGAATGTCATGTGTTTGAAGACATTTTATGACGCAATCTGTGTTTCATCAAGTATGGAAGATATGGAAGGGAATGAAGACGGCCACGAACCTCCTGCAGGTGCTCATCAGAGCTGTCAAGCATGCTACAGAGCATCGGTAGTAAAGTGGGCCATTGGGCGATGCCTTCGTGCACGACGATCGTTGTGATAATGATGCCCACAGTGGCGCGTATCAACGAGTGTGGATCGGATATTGCAAGCAGTGTTTTGTTCTTCACATACTGTTTCACTGGCTCCGGCAAACGACCCCACAGGATTCGGATCGAATTCTTCAGTATCAGACCGGCCAAAGAGCGATTTGCTACCTGAAATTGTATAAAATTGGCTAGAGTAAAATACTCTTGAGATGAATACGTCTAGCCATCTCTTACACGAGAAAAGCGGTTGATGAATACCACTTAATGGACCGAAACATTTCTTATCAATTACAAATATTTCAATACTCCCTCTCCTCTTTTTTCACTTCGTTCTCCTTCTCTCCACTTTCTTTTTCCTCTTTTCCTATCTTACTTTTAAATACTACGACTCAATAATTCAAAGAAACTAGTTTGACAATGGCCACTACAAAAAAATTCGGAAAAAAAAATGAGGATTACCTGCTCGTCTTTCACTTCGCTGAGAATAAAAACGAGGTAGCAGCAGAACTCGGGATGCATGTTGAGCTCATCGAGACGCTGAAAACAAAAGCAAGTGAGCTCTAGACAAGAGCAAGAATATAAATTATTTTGTGTGTAAGGATGCTTCAGCAAAAAATCGAAAACTCATTAGAGGCAAAAAATAGCGAAACTGATGCTGTTCCAGTAGTAATCATATAGTGGTAGAGGTACCAATGACCTTCCTTTCTGAAGCAAACTAGCAACGGTTTTCCGAATCCCTGATAAATGCCAGCTTAGTAAATCTGAACTGCATAAGTATAGAAATAATAGACCAATAGAATTGTATGCATGCGTCATGTGTAAGGTGTTATTTTATGGTGCAAACTGCCTTTATCTTTTAGATTTAGTGGGGTGATATTTCTCGATGCAGTCTGTGTTTTATCCCTTAGCTGTAAATACAGACCGTAGAAGTGGGAATCGTCAGTACAGCCTCCTACCCGGCCATGTATTGAAGGGACATGTAACTAATTTGCTAGAAGGATGAGTGAAAGTATTAAATTAACAAAGTCCTGCTGACCTGCCGCAAAAAGCAGGCAATTACTAAAACTTGGCTGGGCTCCGCTAGGTCGGGGGCGGGGAGGGGGATGACTAGGAGATGGAAAAGCAGAGTAGAGGGTTGGAGATAAGGGGTGGGTGGTGGTAGTTGTAACGGAAGGAAGGAACGTTAGTTTCTTTGAACTGAGATTTCTATTAGGTTTTCATGCCTAGTCTGAATTACTCGGCTAGGTTCCGTATAACTGGGAGAGGGGAATTGCAACAGTGACTAGGAGGTGAGGAAACACAGTAGAGGGCTGGAAGTGGGGCCGAGAGGGGAGGGGGAACGAGGGCCGGCAGTAATACTCTCTGTCCCGAGAGTTGTGACTGAGGAAAGAAGGTGGCTTCATTGCCTAGTAGCTGAGGCCCCTGCGGAGTTTTTATGCTTGGTCTGAACCTGATGTTGAGGAGAAGCTAGCAATCCCGAATGTGATACCTAGAACCTTGCCTAGATAAAAATCCGATCCAAAACTCTCGTAACTCCAGCCTGAACCCAAAAATGAGTGTATACTGTTCAGTTAAGCCCAGCCGAGCCGAGTTCTTGTAGATGCCCAGAAAGCATGAATTCGAAGCGTAGCCATTCTAAGAAAGAGTATTTCGCAAGTCAAGCCAAAACGAAGTTCAAAGTCAAGCCAAAACGAAGTTTTTTTTCCTCCTCTTCCATCAGCTCTACCACTTTTATTACTTTCATGCTGTTACACTCTCTCTCCTTCTCTTTCTCTTTCACTTATCTTTCTTGCAAATTAGTTACATGTCCTTTCAATACACGGCGGACAAGAGGCTGTGCTGACGATTTCCACTCCTATCCGCATGAATTGTTCGGCTTGCGTATACAGGTTACGGATGAAACACAGACTGCATCGTGAAATGTCTTCTTATACATGACACCTAATTCCAATCTTCTTAC